CCGTCCTTACTGTGGCAAGTAAGCTAGCGCATGTACGCACGCACACATACAAGCGAAATGGACTCAAACATATGCTTATGCGTACATATGTATGTTACCTGTTTATATATGAATATATGTATGTATATACATCCATATACTTCTGTGTGTTGGTGCGCATTTATGTTGCGCTGGTTCAGCCTTCCTCGCTAGCATCATCATACGCAGCAGCAGCAGCAGCGCGCCGCTCACCGCTCGTCACTCACCGCCGCCGCTGCGGACATCATTCCGTGCGCATCACTGCACCGTTGCGCATTCTCAATTTGTCAGTTAGTCAGTTAGCCAGTCGGTTTAGCAGCGCTGCAACAAGTCGTATTTCAGTCTGTAAGTCAAGTCAATCGCTTAGTTGTTGGCGCATTCTGTCAGACACATATCGTAAATCGGTTTTTATTTTGCCATATTCTTGAGATTTTTCCATTTTTCTCCTTTTTTTGGTGTCTGATCGCCGCTTCAAGATACGCGCGCCGAAATACAAATCGCTACAATTGATTTTATCGCGCTTACAAAATAAGAACATTTAAGCCGTGATTGACAGTTCGGTGTGTGCGCGTTGGACAGACGCTCCAAAAGTGATTTAAGAACGCATTTCTGCATACATACATACATACATCTATAAATCATATAAAGTTATACAAACTAAAATAGAGTATAAAAACCATAATAAAGTAAAAAAAACATAAAAAGTGTACCAATAAATATTTGTAAAATTTCATGTGACTAAAAGCTCAATTTTGTCGTTAAAATTTATCGCATGCTATGAAAGTATGCATATTTGTGCCGCCCAACAATAAGTGACAACTAAATTATTAATTAAGGTGTGCAATTTTAATTACTTTATTTGTTGTTGTATATTTTATATATTTTACTTCTGATTGATTTGGTTAATATTGGTGCCATGCGACGAAAAAATAATCCATAATGACATATATTTTACACAGTTTAATAATCTAATTGCTGGAAAATTCAGTTATTTTATTGAAATTTATATAGAAAAGATAAAAATTTGATATTCCTCTTCTGCGTTATTAAATGTCCAAAAGTAAAGAGAAAATGAAATAATATTTTGTATTAAGGCATTTCCTTGGGTAAAAAAAACTGTCTTTTTTCAAAATTTTTTTTTCTCATATAAAAATGAAATATTTTTATTAGAATTTTTTTATTATTTTAAACATACACTATCAACAAAAAAAATCTATAATTTTTGGAAAAAATATTTTAAACTCGGCCATTGTGACGACGCCATTTCCGGTGACCCCTCGGAAAAAAGATGTGCCCGCGTTGGCAGCATAACTCCTTACAAGATCATTTAAGGGGTTAGGGGTAGTCAGAGGCACGAAAAAATGAGAATTTTTTGTATGTTTTTGCTATTAAATCGTGTTATTTTACAAAAGTAGTAATATGGCATTTTTATAGAATGTGTTGACTTGAAGTCACGAAAATTTCAAAAAAAAAAAAAAATATTATTTCCAAAGTTTATGTTGACCCAGTTCTAAAAACAGGTACTTGCGGTGACGACTATAAGTCATTGGAGATTCATCTAAAATCAATCGGACAAAACAAAATTAGTTTTACTTACTTGGATGAAGGAAAAAAATTTAAAACTGAATTCTTGCAGACATTTTTACAAAAAAAAAAAAATTAAAATTTCGCAAATTTTTTTTTTTAAATTGTTGTAATTGTAAAAAAATTATTCGTCCAAGTCTTTAAGAATTGTATCTCAATTGTATAAACTATAGTGAAGATGGGTGGAGTAGTTCTCGGGAATCTTGCCAGTCGTCGCACTTAGTCTAGCTAGCCTCGAGCGCACAAGTTCTCAAGGCTCTAAAACTATTACTTGGATCAACTTGAAAATATTAGACAATATTCTAGAGGTGTTGTAGAAATTAATAAGATTATAGAAAATTTCGATTTTTTGAAACCCGTAAATCCATGTAGCCCTTTTTTGTATACAACTTTTTTGAACACCAATAAATCAACAAATATAATATATATTTTCGAACTAATCTACAAATATTTATAACTATTTTTAAATAGATTTAAATTAAATGCACTCTTGAAAGAAAATGTAACTATAATACCTTACACAAATGCAAAAATTTCCTTACAAGAACTGTCAGTCAATTTTTATGGCAGCTATTTGCTATAGTGCTCTGATCCAGATAATTGTTTCGGAAATTTCATTTCTGCTTTATATTGGTAATCGAAAAAGTCTTTTCGTATTTCTAATCAAACTTCAACTTATTTTTTTTTTTCTTTAAAATAATAGCCTTCAGCTCTTTCAGCGAATTTTGTTTTAGCGCATCGATCGACTGAAAACAGGTCCTACGCAGCGGCAATTTCAATTTGGGGAACAAGAAAAAATCAAAACGGGGCCGAATCTGGTGAATACGGTGGTTGATCGATGGTATATGATTATCGTTATGTAAAATGCACGAATTGTTCTCACGCGAATGCCTCAATACGGCCAAAAAACATTCCTTATTGTCCCTCCGGAAAAAATTTGTGATGCACCAAACACCAAATAACGAATATCGAAAAAAACAATGAGCATCACCTTGAGTTTTGAACGGCTTTGGCGTGGTTTTTTTTTTTTTTTTTTTTTTGCTTTCTGCTCGGTTTGCCTCCATTCCGATGATTGTTGTATAAACCTCAGAACCTCAGTCTTATCGACTATCATTTATAATGCTCTCCATGAATGTGGGATCGGTCGAGTCGAGCAAGTACGCATTTCATACACAAAATATCCACCATAATCATTTGATCGTACTCGCGTGAGATGTCGAGCCCTCTTGCCATCTCTCTAACACTTGTACAACTCGTAGGCTTGTGATTTTGATAGAACTGACTCACCGTAAGTCTTTTCCAACATTTACAACGATTCCGCACACGAAATTTGGTTGAAAATACAAAACTTTAGACAAATTCTTTGTTCAATATTTTTATTCATTGTAAAAGTCGCAACGCACTATTTAGGTGTATCGACTTAAGCAGCAGCTGTAAACAAACTGGTTGACAGATAGCGCTCATATTTGACAGTTTTAGGGTGTTTTTTTGTCGGAATATAATACATATATTATTTTTAGTTTTATAAGCCTGAGGGGTTTCATCCATGCTTCAATCAATGACATATTTTTGCAAAAGCCATGTCACTAGGAACCCATTTTTATATTGGACGTTAAACTTTCTTGAATGATACGTATAAAGTACTCAATAAATTTTCAATTTCATTAAAAAAATTAATTTTCGAAGCTATACTTTGTACATTAGATATATGGATTTTCTACAAGTTTACCAAAACGATCAGAACGTACGGCATTAACAACTATTAAGCATAAATTACGTAAATTACGAAAATTCTAATCCAACTACAGATCTTCAACTTACATAATAAAGAAGGTAGGAAAAACTTATTGCCAACCAATTATTACCGAATTTGGGCAACAAATAAGCATGAATTAGAAATGAAATACGTAACGGACATAAAAGAAGTAGCAAAACGAACAAACAAATGGTATGAGTCAAGTTGTCCATATATACAAATCTATGATATTTATATAGTGTAATATTCACATATATATGTATGTATATATTTGAGGTTATACCCGCTTGAAATGATAAAAACCCCTTTTGTTAACCAAAAAAATGCTGCTGATTTACGAAATTCACGCCGACACCCCCGGCGCGCACTTGTCACTTTTTTACAACGAAATCGAAAAAGCGCCTTCAATTTCTGCCACAAGCATTGCAATTTAATTTCGATCGATCTTGAGCTGCGCGATCCGTCAATGGCCGCCGGTGTGAACGTGCAGTCTGTTTCTTTGGCAACGTGCAGCTGGATACCTTTTGTGGCGGCGAAGCGCGCTAAGCATCGATCAACGATCGGCGATCGCCGGCGATCAGATTGATACATTGTGCGCAATTCAATTGGTTTTTTTTTTCAACTTTTTTCAGATGTATTATTTTTTTTTTTTATTCTTTTTTATTTTTTCTTTCACTTTTTTTTAACTTTTTATTACTTTTTTCATTAAACATGTGCTTATGCGCGAAGCTGCCACAGTCATGAGAATGAAATTTGAATTTTGCGCTTTTGGAATGTGTTATTTCTCGATTTGCTTGTACATACATATTATATACCTTTTGTTGTTGTATTTTTATATATTATATGTACGTTCGTTTTTGTTGTGTTAAAAACCCAACATTGCGCATGCGCACGTTTTTGCCACCAAATTTACTTGTTTTTCTTTAATTTCCTTGAATTTATTCTTTGTGATTATGATTTTCCATATGTGTATGTACATATAATACATAAGTATGCACACGTACATAAGTATATGCCTATTTACATTTACATATGTACATACATGCCAACTGCCTGGCTGTTTATATTATTTGTTGTTGTGTATTTTGGTTTGTTGCGGTGTGTCTGTGGGCGCTTTGGTGTGATTATAAATGCCTGCATTCATCAGCGCACTTATACTGACAAACAATGAAGCAGGAATATGCTGTGTTGAACATTTCAAAATTTTTTATGATTGATCGCTTATTTATGGACCGTCAAATGCAGCAAAAATTCGGCCTGCAACGCTGCTTTTCAAGCCCTTTTCGAGTGTTTATATTTTTCATTTTATTGAATCCCACGAATTATTCTAGCAACAACAACACTGCGCTCTCGCACCTTGTTAAAACATCATCGATTACGGTAATGTTGAAATGTGCATTTTGTTGCACTCAAAAATTAACAAATTAATCACCGCAACGTGGGCAAACTGACAGAAAAAATGTTGATGAGCATACATACACACACACATGCAGTCATACAGACACACAGTTGAATGACTCCAATTAGAAACCACTTTGTAGCAATATACTCTGCTCAAACTCCAATGAAATATATATTTTCTTTATATATTTCGCATTTTTAACGAAATTAATTTTTATTTTCCCCTTTTTCATCCTTCCAGGGTCGCATGTCCCTCAGTCGTGGCGTTTCGATGGAGCAACGTTTACAGGATATTGCCAGTTTCTTCAATCCGATATCGAGCATGGGTGTAGTCGGCGGCGTCTCCGATATGCCACCCTATCCCCACTATCCCACACATCCATATTCGTATCAGGGTGCCGCTGGCATACCAGCACCACCGCAACACGCTCAATATCCACCACCACCACCGCCGCATTCACACCATCACAGCCACCATGCCATGTTGCATGCCAACGCCACTTTGGGTGATATTTGCCCCACGCAGCCGCATTATGGCCATAATTTGGGTTCAGCCGTCACTTCTAGCATGCATTTGACCAACTCCAGCCATGAGGCTGACGCCGGTGCAGCTGCATCAGCCGGCGCTGCAGGCGGCAATGTGGGCGCCTATAAAATGGAACACGACATGATGTACTACACTGTGAGTGCGCGAGTCAAATATAGTTTTAGTATTTTCTTAAATTTTTAATTTTTGTTTTTTACAGAATTCTTCTTCGGATATGAATCACACCACTGACGGATTTATTAACTCAATTTTGAATGATGAGGACTTGCATTTGATGGACATGAATGACAGTGAGTACAAAATTTTGTTTAGTTTATTTGTTTAATACATTTTGTTAGTAGGATTGCTTGAAATCTTCTTTTTTTGTATGAGTGAAAGCTCTAAAAGCTCTGTCGCTTTTGTTATGCTTAAATTAATGTTCCAAAAACTCTCTTATACTTAAGAATTTAATTTTTCGCATATTAAATTTGAAATATTTTTGTTTAAGAGTGAAAGTTAGTTATTCCTATAACTAACCGTTCCGAAAATTCTCTTATACTTACGAATTTAATTTTTGGCAATTTAAACTCCATATAATTTTGTTTATGAATAAAAGTTCAAAAAGCTCTAAAACTCTATTTATACCTATAACTAAACGTTTCATAAACTCTTTTATACTTACGAATTTACTTTTTAGCAATTTAAATGTGAAATGTATTTGTTTATAAATGAAAGGTGTGAAAGCTCTAACGCTTCAGTTATACCTATAATTCACCGTTCCAAACATTCTCTTATAAATACTTACGAATTTTTTGGCAATTCAAATGTGTAATAATTTTGTTTATGAATGAAAGCCCTAAAAGCTCGAATGCTTCAGTTATACTTAAAGTAACCGCTGTGAAAGCCCAACCAACCGTCCCAAAAACTTTCTTATGTTTAGAATTTATTTCTTGGCAATTTAAATTTGAGATAATTTTGTTTATGAGTGAAAGTTTTAAAGCTTCGATTTACTTGTACTAACCGTTCAAAAAACTTGTTATAATTTAATATTTAGTTTTTGGTTATTTTAGCTTTGAAATCATTATTTTTATGAATAAAAGTTCTATAAGCTCTAAAGCTTCGGTTATACTTAAAGTAACCGTTCCGCAGACTCTTATACTAAGAACCGTTCAAAATTTTATAATTAAATATTTATTTTAAAAAAAGCTTTATTCTTTTTTTAATGACAACGCTGTTGATATTTTTTAAAGGCCGAAAAGTTCAACTTTTGTAATAAGTATTTAGACTTAGCGGAGTAGATTTTTATAATTAGTTTACTAAAATCATCTCTAGCAACTTTATTTGATATTTTCCAGTCAAATTTTGATGTAGTGAATAAATATTCAGTAGTGACTTAGGGATACTATATATCATTCATATATGATCTTTGATAGTAAAATATATGTATGAAATATAGACACCTTACAAAACCTTGTTTATATATTTTTTCCAATTTGGATGAAAATAAAAGCTTAAAATGCTTCATTTTACTTGTTTGCACATTTTACTGTGACTGCGCCTATAGGTATGCTTCGAAGATTTGCATAAGCTTAAATTTGTCCTCCTAATTTGTTGTTTATACAGTATAAAGTTGTTTATATACAGATATATGTATATATATATATATATATAATAAATATATAATATACCTACATATATATAAGTAAATAATTAAAATTGAAGTATAATTTTTACATTGCTTTGGACAAAGTTGCGCAATTCAGCCCCACTTTTTATCACCGTTTTTCATAAATTCGAGTCAAACCGGTTAACGCTTGCCATATATTATATTTTTCCATGCTGTGTTCGAGAAGTATATAGACTTTCCAAACAATTGCTTTCATTAACGTCACTCTACGTTTCAATAAAGCTTTCACTGTCTCATGCGTTCGATTACAGTCTCTATCAGTCTAAAACACTGTCAAAGGTGATAACACTAATGATAGCTTGAATTCGGAAAAAATTTATAATTTTCTATAAAAACTGACGGATTTGAACTTGGGAACTTTCGATAGGGTGTTATGTAAACAATTTGCGACTGGCAGTAATAGTTGTTGTCGATTTTATACATACTATAATACTTTGTAGATAATATTTATACATACTATAGATCAGATTTGTCACGCGTGATAATGTCGCACTGCAAACTCAGTGTTAGCCAATAAAGAAGAAGAAGAATCTCAGTGTGATAAATCAGTCAGTGTTTGTGAAAGCTTCGGATCGATTATAATATAAATATATCACCGAAAAATGTAATATTTAGGTTAAAAATAAAAAAATTAAAACATGTTAGATATTTTGTATGTACTAATTTCAATTTTATAGATTTTCTTATGAATACTACGAAACCACTTCCTCTTGATTAGCATAAATCGGCAGCGTTAGAAGATAAGCTGTAAATATTTTTCAATACATATTATATATAATTCATGAGTGTATATGTACAGGCAGTATATAGATTAAATATCGGCACACTTTCAAACATAAATACATACATGTACAAAAATATCGGGGTAGACGCCTTTTTTTTCTTGATTTTTGTTTTTTGTGTTTTCTTTCTTCTGTTTTTGCATAAAAATTTGATAGTGAAATCACGCAACCAGACAATTTTGCGTATTTTCAAAGTTTGTTTTGCAAAATTAACCGCGAGACATAGGAAAATTCGCTTTTAAGTATTTAGTGATATGATAAAGCCAGCTATCGAACTCCTAAATCAGCTGTTGTGCCCATCCCTAGCTGGATTGAACCAGTTACTGTTGGCCTCACAACAAAGTACTTAACTTATATTTTTAATCAGATTGTTAAATTTAATAATTTTGTAGATTGTTGTTGATTTGGTGCTTAGGTGGTGCAAATGATTTCCAGTGAATTTACAGAAAATTCCCCCAAACTATAAGCTGAATTATTTATAAGAATGAACTCAATTGATAGATCGTTAATATGCCCAATTGGCGAGACAAAGCAATTACACATAAGTATATGAATCGGAGAACATATAAAAATTAGTTTTTAAAGAATTTGTTCTCAAATACAAACATATTAGGTTGTCAAAAAAGTCTTGCGGTATTTTTATTGAATTTTCAATTGTTCATAAAATTTTTTTTGATGACTCTTGCCGAGCTCTTGACCGATGCTACGGCTGCTACTATGCCGGTCTCTTTCGACCAATTCAGCGATTTTATCGCAATTTTCGACGACAGGCCTTTCGGAGTGTGGCTGGAAAAAGTCTTTTCGTATTTGTAATCAAACTGCAATTTTTTTTATCTTTATACTAATATTACCGGTTTGATCGACGACTTTTTGCCATTTTTACGCTAGAGACATTATTTCATTAATGAAAAATTTTCATGAGTGTAAATCGAAATTTCTAGAACGAAAGCACGCGAGCCATTATTGTGCTACACGAACTGATACAGCATCATCTCCGTAAAATTCACAAATTTTTTTGGTGGCTTGCGTGGCATTCTTCCCTTTTTTGAACAAAAATTTCAAAATATAACGAATTTCTCCATTATTTTCACTCATTTATGAACAGCTGTAACTGTTTTTCAACTTCCTTGAATTTAATTTGTGGTGAAATGAAGCTTAAAATCTCAAATTTCCAACACTATTTGGTATGACACAATGTGAATGGTAGCACTGTTTATATACGACTAAAACGACATCTATTGACAGAATACGAAAAGACTTTTTCGACTATCGAATAGTTTTGTTAAATTATTGCTAAGATGTAATCTACAAATTCAAGTTTTTTTTGTAATATTTGTCTCAAATAACTTTTGTTTTGCAGATACTTAAATTAATCGTTCACTTAGTTAGATTCATCCGAGCTTTAGAGCTTTATCTTTTTGTAGTTATTTAATATTCACTGTAGACGTTAAAATATAACAAAAATTGCAGCTTAAAGTTACGTGCTTTTTTGTTTTGATTTTGTTTTTGATATTACATACACATGGAATTTGACTGATGAAAGTCTGAAGTTCACTGAATCTTTATAGAGAGAGCTATCACTCAACTATATAT